GCAGCTATAAAGGTGTGTAATGCTTGAGTTGAGAACTATGAGCTATAAATAAAGGATTGTCATCTGTTTTGAGTCTCCCCTAAATGAGTAGTGCTAAAATAGTGCAAAATAGTACTACAGTAGTGCAAAATAGCGAAAATTAGAGGACCACATTTGCAGTAGTGCTATAGTAGTATCATGTTGGCACTACATGGCACTATAGAAAAAGTGATAGTGAAGAGTAGTTATAACTAGTACCAAGTATACTAATTAGTGCTTAGTTGCACTACTGAAGAAGTGCATCTGAATAGTAGCTCTAATGTAGATGTCATCTCTGCTAACACTTGCTAATATAGATAAGATTATCTGAATAGTGATAATTAGCGTCAATTCGCAAAGGCTGTTTTTCCAGATGCCGGCGATTTCGTTGCCGGGTAGGTGGAGGAAGAAAAGGTGGAAGTCGTGGTTGAGGAACCACTGGGGGGTGGGGACGTCTTCGGGGGCAGCGCGGTAGGTGGAGGCGAGTTGGGGCATGATGTGGATTGGTGGGAGAGAGGAGTGGGTTGGGGTCGTTCCCTAGAGTCGCTGTTGCTTCTTATACTTGGTGAGGAGCTTCAGCGCATTAGTCATCTCCTTCCTGGAAACACACGAGTTTTTGCTGCTAGGCCAGCCCTTCCAAGAGACGAAGTATTGATAGCCTTTCCCACGTTTCCGATGAGCTAAGATGGCCTCGACTTCCCATTCTTCTTCGCCTTCTACGGTCTCTGGAGGCGGTCTGGGGTAGTCTGGACCATGTTCCTTGGTGACTCGATAAGGTTTGAGTAGATTCACATGGAACACCAGTACAAGCTAGATAAATTTTTTGATCCTTATAGTTATGGTAAAATGGGAATTATTTCACCATAAAGTGATAGTGCGCCCTCCAAATATTTGAGATGGTTTGAGGGACATCCCTCCCAGATATTCGAGGCGAACCCCAAATATTTGGGATGCATGGTGGGAGCAAGGGGAGGAGGGTACTTCCTCCAAATATTTGCCAAATATTTGTGTATATATTTCCCTTGAGCCTTGAGGCACATAAAGCGGCCCACGTCCAAATATTGTTTGAATATTCACAATCAGAAGATATTTGGTAGCTCATAAATATTTGAGACATTGCTTCTACTTGCCACCAATATCTGCGCCTCTTCGGATATTTGGATAGATGTCTCATACCAAAGCAGCAAAATATATTTGTACGTATGTATGCTTGGGCTTCCTTACATCGATGTCCTGCCAGAAGGGCTGCCCAGCGCGGGACACGACACAGGAGCCGGAGAAGCTCGAAAGGGACTGGGACAGGACAGCGACTACAGGCTGGATCTAGCCGAGCAGAGGTCCGCAAGTTTGACCGAGCCAGACGACCCCGCAGATGCACCGCCGATGGACACCTACTGGAGCGAAGCGGGTACATGTGAGTCGACACGCCGGATAAGCTGCATGCTCCGGTGTGGCTCCTGGTCGACCATCTGCGTGTCTACCAACCTCTTCCAAATGTATGGCAGGTATTTTGTACAAAAAATCAAGGATACACAGGTATCCTAGAAAAGTAGAAATTCAGCACAGGTTACGCACTATTCACTTAAAAAATGCACGGGTTGTACCATTTAATGAAAGATGTAGGTCATTTGGCTGTAAATTACACAGGTTGTCCCTATGACACAGGTTTAGAAAGTAAGATACACACAGGCTGAAATTGCAGCTCAAGCTACCCTGCAACAATTGCACAGGTTTTGTGGTCTACACAGATTCATCTGCAGCTTGTTGACTGTTGCAACACAGGCTGATAAGTACCTTAGTTCAAACTGATAACCCCCTCTTTATATAAGTCCTCAATTCCAACTGATAACACCACTATTAGTAAAGGATTGGAATTATCATTTTGAACAAGTTCCACACCACCAAGTATATGTGATGACCAGCTAAAAATGCAACATGCGGAAATTGCACCACACACAACTGTTGGACTATCCATCACACTTTCCCAGCCCATTATAGCTGCTAAGCACCATTACCTCAGGTGACTAAGCCAGGTACTTGTTAGGACTGTGCCGCCGGAGTTCCGGGGTTAGGGGTCGGAGCTGGGCGGACACGGGGGGAGGACTTCGGCGAAGCTATTAGCAACACCCTGAGGATTCCGACGGTGTCCTCGATTTCGGAATCAAAGGTCAGGTGGAGATCGGACGGAGATCGGACAGAGGTCGGCAGAGAACGAACAGAGGCAGGGAGAGTAGATTGAAGTAAGATAACTGATAGAGTATAAGCGGAGCGTAAGGTAACGAGATATCCGAACTGAGGAACGCTGCACTGAGTCCAAGGGTTTATATACTAAGAAACCGGTGTCTCCTAAGTCCGAATCGGAGGTGGAGGTCCGATCGGAGGTGGCAGAATACCGACACTAAGTGGAGAAGTGATGTAAGTGGCGCCAGGCACTGATATGGGAAAACGGACATTCCAGCGGAGATAGGGTAGACGCTCAGAAAGCCATATGGGCCCCAGCAGGGAACGGAAAGGAAACGGAAAGGAAATCGGAACCAGTACGTAAGTATCTATTCGTAAGCAAGCCCGGAGGTCTGGCGGAGTTAGCGCGGTGTCCAACGGAGTTTCGGAGGGACTTGGGCATGGGACATAACAGTACTTCATTACTTCTCTGTGTTGGTGCATCAGCTGTGATGCCTACTGTTACAGTATATATATAGCTATCCTCGAAACGGTGCTAACTGATAACCTTCAAAGTGATAGTTGCATGAATACAATACTAAAACTACGTAAATGCCTGCATGTAATGCATAGTGGCTACAGTGGGCTTAGTTGAGTCAGGCTTGCATTGCCGTTGTGCAGAAGCACATTGCACAGCTCGGTGACAGCAGGGTGGAATGGCACAGGCAATAGGCTAATTCATGTTCACTTTCAACATTTTGTTCTAAGCGCTGCATATAAAAGGCACATACCTGATGATTACGTCTGCTGCTACAACCAATTCAGTGGTTGCGACACAAAGGAGCGATGGCTGTGGAGGATTAGAAGCGGTTGGTTGGACCTAATAGAGTCATGATGGAGAGCATATCTAAGCCTTGTTTCCGCTCACCTACTTGATGGTAGCACATATTATTGACAGTGAAAACCAGAAATCAGTGAGGTTGGAAATTCTGCACTGTATTTGAATAATTGATTAATTTCAATGCTGAATAAACATAACCTGTCTTTAACAACTAGGTGATCTGTGTGCAGATACAACCTACGTTTTTTGTGTCACCCTTGTAACCTGTGTACTCAAGTGCTCAAAGTGCAGCCTGTGTAGTCTTATAATGAACCTGCGCAAATTGTTTTTGTACCTACGTCTTTATGATCTAACCTGTGTGGTGTCCAACCTGGGCAATTAGAACCTGCGTCATGTTTAACCTGCACTGATTTAGTAGTTTTGGGGACTTGATTTTTTGGACAAAATACCATCCACATAGTAGTCTTATCATAGTCTATTAGAGTCCTTTCGCAGGCGATTTGAAACCGGTGGGGTAGTTCAATTTGTCAGCGCTCCCAGTTCAGAATCAGCTGAGGTGGGTCCCTCGCACATCCTTTCGACTGCCAATGATCATTGTGCAACAGCGCGCTTGACAAGGTATCCACGGGACCACCACTTCAGAGATTTGGCAGATCCAACCCGGTTCTGAATCGGTTGCAAAAGAACTCTATTCTATGTCCGTCACAATCACGCTCGACGGTGAGCAGATGTGGGGCGTCTCGTACTCGCAGTGCGTGTGCCCGCGCATGTACGTCTGCGTGCCATATAATGCCAATTAGAAGGGAGAGCGCACCGCGTCGAGCCTCCATAGAACCTCCATCGTGTCGAGAATCGAGATCAAGGACAATTAATCCGCCGAACTCGTGTGTCATGATCAGGATACCTTGCGCTTTGTCCACCTATAGCAGGTGCACGTCATATGGATGGCAGCCATGGCAGTTTCTGCGCGCGTCCCACACCCCAATCCAGCTCCGCTGCAACTCGAAGTGCATCCAGCCTGTGTGCGTGTACGTCCGCCGTTAGCGTCTCACAACCCAACCACATAGATAAAACAAGCAACACGCGGCTTCGAACCTGTTATGGCTTACTGTAGCAGTACCAATTCGGCGCATCCTGGAGAAACTCCAGCCTCTGGTGCGCGGTCCTCGCATCCGAGAGACGGTGTGGATCAAATCGACAGTGTTGCAGCAGCGCGGCGTGGTGGTAGATTGTCAACTCGTGCTCGCGGAAGAACATGTCCCAACTGTGCAATGCAAGCCGGAGGCTGCGCAGCGTCTGCACAGGGAGGAATGTGAAGATGCGGAGCAAGAGCTCTACAGGGAGAGAATCGAGCGAGGGTATGCTCAAGGGCCGCTCTGTTCAGGGGATGTCAGTACATGTGCTTGGTCGCAGAGAGTAAAGTATCAGAGACGCATTGCGAGGCACGGGCTAGCACCACGTATTCACGTAACACGACACCCGCCTACTCCACACATGAATACACGCCTCCCGAACGGTGTCGTGAAGATCATAGTAAAGAGGTGTGACCAACATGACGATTGTCCGCCAGGACTAATACCACTGTAAGCCCCTCTGTACCAGCATGATCCGGTCACAAGGGTAACTGCTCTGCGCGTACGACGCCCTTACGCGTAGGTGTCTGCCATGCATGTACCCGACACCTCAGAGAGTCTCTTGTACCTATGCGGGGGTGTCCGTCCGCTCTAGGGGCGGGAGTTCTGCGAACGGCGGCGATACTGCCGGGCGTACTCCGAAACGCAGTAAGAGGCGAGTCCCAGGTACGCAATCGTACCCCTCGAGCGGTACGTCTGCAACTCGTACCCTAGTCTTCATTAAAGCCGCCTTCAAGTTGGACCCCCATTCCAAAGCTTATCGGGCTCGTGAACGGTTCAGCTGCTAACCAACTTGAGGATGCTTGTTTAGAGGGCCTGTCTTGCGCTATAAGCATGATCTCGTTCTTCCCCTCATGGTGGCATGTTATTCGAGTGAGCGCGTTGACGCGGCCGCTTGGATGACAACTCTCTATGGCGCCTTCAGAGGCACAACTTGTTCCACATGATCATGTCGACAAATATTATTGACGTTGCTGTTGACCTCCACCATCGCACGCTGCTCCTAGGCTGTCTTGATATCCTCTTGAACGCTTTGACATATATAGGCAAGGCTAGCGTTCTGCTGTTTTATACGGTGTTCTTGTGCTTGATAGGCCATATATCTAATCACTGAGCCCCTCAAGTGAACAAGCCAACTACGACGTCCTGCATCTTCACATCCCGGATCGCCTCGTGGATGAGCGAGATGTGCTGGCCGATTGTCTGACCTTCCACCCCAGGGCCCTCCTTGAAGTCGTGCGCGTTCTCCGCGCCATGCATGCGAATGCTGAGCGTCGTGCGGATGAACTCGTACACCCCGGGCGACTTGCCCAGGTACGCCGCAGTGGGTGCCAAGCCCCTTCGCACCGCTCAGATACTCCTTCCGCAGGCACACGAGTGAGGCGGTCAGGCGCTCCGCGAGCTGCGCGCGGAAAGAGACGATCCCTCCAAGAGCATGGGGCCCGTCCTGCTGTGCGAAGAAGTCGACGAGGGGCATCGTGGTCGACGCCGCGAAGGCGCGCATGCGGGCGGCGGCGTCCATGGTGCTCGTCGACTCGAGCGAGCGGCGGATCTGGCGGGAGATCACATCAAAGATGGAGTCGAAGTCGGTGTCTGACAGGTGCTGGCCGAAGGAGGCCTAGAGCCGCTCGCGGAGGATGTCGTCGACCTCGAGCTGGAACTCGTGCAGCAGCGCGCAGAGGTCAAGCGCCTGGCAGAGGGCGTAGAGGTAGCTCGACGTGAGGAGAGAGAGGACATCAAGGGAGTTGAGCGTCGCCCGGGCAGAGATGAGCGCAAGAGAGTTGACTGCTTGGTTGTGCATCTCCACCGACTGGGCATGCGTCGAGACGGGGTTGGTGAGGTACCCAAGCACGCCAACGTATGCCGTGGCATGGACGTCGATGCCCTTAGCGAAGTAGTTGTGAGAGGGATCCATCGCAGCGAGGTTCAGCGGCAGGCCACGGTTCATCGCCGGGTTGATGAGCTTAGTGCACTGCGTGTTGAACTTGGACTTATCCGGTCCAGACTACACGAGGCTATGCGTCTCCTAGCACTTAGCTGTAGTCGCTTATGTAGTATGTTACCATATTTGGGACTCTCTGCTCGTGTACTATAGCTATGCTTCCGGACTCTTCTGGTACTGTCTAGGACAATCCGTACTACTCCAGAACGGTCTAGATAGGTCTATGCCTTACTCATCTGTTACTCATCCTATGGTGCGATACGTCGCAATTCTTTCACCATTGTATTATTCATCGCACTATGGTACATGTGACTAACCACTCTTCGATTAGTCATGGACACTTCTCTGTAGTATATAAGGACTTCAGATTGCATCCTCCCTCTTCAGTCTTTCCTTACTGACTGAAGAGTGAGTACTTCGTTACCTTTACCTCTAACTTGTAGTTACTTACTTAAACCTTGTAGTCTTGCTTCGACTCTAGGTACAGTTGGTTACTGCAATATAGTCTTTCCTTACTGACTGAAGATCTTGCTTCGACTCTAGTCGGATCTAATCTTTGTCTTCACAGCTCCGAGTTTATCAGGTTATGAGCCC